TGGGGTTATATTGAATTCAATAGCACCGCAGCCATGCCCTCCGCCCACAGTGCGATCGCCTGCCTGCATTCTGCTCCAGCGAAATCTGCAAAAACAGTGCTTGCAGAATTTTTGCAGATCGCACTGGATTGGAACACAGGCACTGATGTGCCTGCGTCACAGGTGCGGGCGATCGCACTTCGGGTGAGGGGCGTAGCTGCCGTGCCATTGACTCTAATGCAACGTTGTTGCATAATGCATGTGAAATATCCGGTAGATGCACACGGTTAGATTAGACTAGAGGCAAGATTCTGCATAAAAACATGTCCGTACTGTGCCTGTGTCCATATGGGTTCTGGACATACACCCGCCTATGCCCGTATGAGTTCTGGACATACACCCGTCTATGTCCGTATGAGGTATGGGCATACACCCGCTTATGTCCGTATGAGTTATGGGCATACACCCGCTTATGTCCGTATGAGTTATGGGCATACACCCGCCTATGGCCGTATGAGTTATGGACATACACCCGCCTATGCCCGTATGAGTTATGGGCATACACCTGCCTATGTCCGTATGGGTTATTGGCATACACTGGCCTATGTCCGTATGAGTTGTGGACATACACCCGCCTATGTCCGTATGGGTTATTGGCATACACCGGCCTATGTCCGTATGAGTTATGGACATGCACCCGCTTATGTTTATGTCTTCCCCCCTGGAAGTATAAGATTTTTGAAGAATGCCACCAGCACACCATAGATCCTTCCAGGATCACCAAATGTTCATTTTATTGAACAAATTGTCAAGAATGGGAAGCACTTTCGGGACCTCACAGGGTCCATAAATGTGTTTTTCTACTTCATCTTGTTTCCAAGAACCAGCCGCACTTTGGTCACTATGTCGCTCTGATGAAGGGTCCCTGCGAGGTCCCGAAACGCTAGCTTGAGCTTCTAATGACATGCCGTGACATTTTTCAATAAACATATCAAAGAGATATTGAATTAATCTGTGTGTGTGTGTGCCGGTGACCTTTTGAGACTTTCTACTTCATCTGACCACACCTGTACAATGTTCTTTATTTATTAACAACTCTGTAGTACAATGAACTGCCTGATTGTATTCAAATTGAACTGATTGCTCCAGTAGGCACTCACAGTTTTGGTAAATCTAAAGAATATTGTACAATGTAAAATCATATTGTACTGCGTAGGGATGTTCAGATACCAAGTACCATACTTGGTACAAGTACAGATACTTTTCCAGCTTCAAGACTAGACTACAGAAAAATTCAAAAGTTAGGAGGCAGCTGTCATTTGTAAGGAGAACACGGAGCTCCTGGGATTTGTACATCTCTGTTTTAATGAATGAATATCTATATATATATA